CCCCCCCCCCCCCAACACACACACACCCTCTCTCTCTCTCTCTCTCTCTCCTTGAATGCCACAAATCGTTCAGTGAAACTTCCTCGGGTGAAGTCTCTTTAGCTTCTCTTTCATCTTCATATCTCTCTTTTTTAACCCTTGGTCAGCCCAGCAGGTCATCTGGTGAAACCTCCCGTGTCGGTCCTCCAGTGAAACCTCTTCATTGTGCCAGTCGGCCGAGTTTGATCATGCTGGTTCTTCCTCTTCGTCGTCATGGAAACCTCATTTCCTCGTCCGCATAAAGGCAGCCCTCTTTTACTTTTACTTCATTGCACTTTACTCTGTAATTGACACCCAAACGTAGGGGTAATTAGGGCATATCTCCCCCTTATTTCCTTGTCTTCATGCCTTGTGCCAAAAATGAAACTGGACAAAAAGACCGGGACGAAGGTATTACATCACAAATGGGTTGGGCCCAAACAAATAGAAAAGATCCGGTCGAGAATGGTGTTGGGGTGCAAGTGTCCAACCCAACACTCACTCCCGAACAACTATCTAGACATAGTTTGACGGTCTCACGGTTAACTTGAACCCCCTTATGGGCTGAGGAAACGGGCCAAGGAGATTAAACCACTGAATGCAGGCCCTCGCTCTAGCATATCCCTTTAAAGATGTTAAAGATGAAATTTAGATCGAAACTACACCGTAACTTTTAAGGGCAAAGATATTTATTTAACACTAAAAGAGTTAATGTATCCAAAAAAAGTAAATAAACTAATTACATATTTCCTCTGTCCTTGAATATTTGTCCATTTTGATTTTTTTGGTAAAAAATGATAAACTTTGACTTCAAATTAAATAAAAATGATATTAGATAACGATACAAAAATAGTTTTATTAGATTTATTATATCAAATATTTTCAAAATATTATTTAATTTAATTGACATATACTCTGGTAATATATATTTTATTTAATTATAGGTCAAAGATTGAAAATAGTTGACTGAAGAAAATCAAAATTGAACAAATACTCAAGGACAGAGGTAGTACTACGTAAAACTTAATTCGTTGGTTTATATATATAAATTTATCATACTCCATTATCATACGGAGAAGAATGCTAAGAATTGTCTTCATTTTTTATGGTTGGTTTTGCTTTTAAAAATTTCAATGAAAGATGATTATTTCTCTTTAAACGTTTTGCTAAAATATAAAAAAGAATTCGTGCCTACAACTATAAAAATTTTGGTTGGATTGGTTCATACGGGAACTTTGTTGATCAAGAGATTACAAGTTCAAAACTAACTGTTACTTTTAAAAAAAAAATTCACGTGCAAATGCTTAAAGCAATCACGTGAAGGAGTATGTTAGGATATACTTCTAAAAAATCTTTTCTGAGTCTACAGCTACAAACTTGAAATACTCCCAATGTAAACAAATAATTGAAATAACTTTAACACCAATTTTTTTTAATGGAAATACTTGTGTG